CCCCCGCGGGAGCCGGCTCGGGGACCCCGAAGCGGCGGCGCGCCCCGGCCCTGCGCGCGGAGGGCGGGAGGGGGGCGCGCTGCGACGCGCGTCGGGCTGGCCGGGGAAGGGCAGGCGCCGGGGCGCTCCTCGCCCGCCGCGCAACGCGCAGGGGCGCTCGCCGGGTTCGCCGGGCTGCGCCAGGCCTGGCCGGCGGGGATCGGTCCCGCGCCCGGTCCCGGAGACTTGGTGGCCCCGGCGCCGCTGAGCTCGAGGCAGGAAGCACTGAAGAATGTGCTCCATCGGAGGTGCTTTGGAGGGGACCCGGACAGCTCTGGCTCCCAAGCCCGTTCCGTGAATCCTAATTATTCCTTTTGAATTGGCACGTGCAAAGCAGCATCCGCAGATCCTGCCCTGTGGCCCAGGATCTCTTAAGCCCCTAATAGCATCCCCTCCTCCCACCTCATGCGGTTGGAACGTGACAGGAGGGGTAGGAACGCAAGGAAGCGGGGTGGGCTTCTCCCAAGGGCTGCTGGATGAGATGGCTGCACCGGAGGGCCGGGCCGGGCCTGGCCGGGCTGCGACGTTCCCGCTGGAAGGTGCCTGGTTGGGCTCCTGCCCGGCTTATGATCCAGGCAACAGCCCCAGGAAACCTGCTGGGCTAGAGGGTGCCCCCGCCCCCTCTCCTCCATCTCCCATGATGGCCCCAGAGCACCCTGTGCAGGGCCACTCGGGAGCACAGCAAAGCTGGCCAGTGCCTTCCGGATTCTTGTGCCTGCAAGTCCCATCGGCCCCAGCCAATGGTGGAAAGACTGGCAGGGATCTCGAGGGGGCAGCAATGGAGTGCTGCAGCTAATCCGAGAGTCCAGTGTGGAGGGAGCCCAGGCAGGTAGCGCCGATGGGGCCCCGGAGGGGCACTGGCAGCTGCCTGAGGATGCCAGGTGCCGGTGCCGGGCCTGCAGCTTTAAGTGCCCACTCGGCTGCTCCACGGCTCCATCACGGCCACCCCAGCTGTCTTCTGTGGCAGGTGAAGGCCTGCCACGAGGGAGAGAGACACTCGCCTTGGACACTCGCCCTCTAAACTAGCCGCTGCGCTCAGGTGGGCACGGGATGCTGTCCGGCTGTGGATGCCAAAATAAGGACCATCTCCCTGGTCGGCTTCAGAGCCATGCCCCCCTCTGCCTCAGGCAGCAAAACAGCTGGGACCTGCCCTGGAGCAGGAACCAGCACACCCCCACACCCGCCCTTGCCCTTTCCTTCAGGCCTGCTCAGCTCTGAGCATCTCCTGCTGAAATTCGACCCCTGCATTAGAGGGATGGAAGCCAGCGGGCCTGGGCAGGGCAGGGCACTGGGGTTGCTTAAGCTACTGATTTGGAGCAATTTGCTCAGCAAATTCGCTTAAACGCAATTAGGCTAATTAGCTTATGAAATTCATTACCCCCAAGATGTGGCGATAGATGGCCACTAGGCTTAGGTGGCTTATCCGAAATACATGTGAACTTGGCATAGAAAAGGTCACAGACGGCACGCTTACATTTCATGGCCTTTCGGCCTCAGTGTTTACACTGGTTTTTTCTGTCTAGGCATGCGTGCGTGCGTGCGTGCGCGCGCACACACACACACACACACACACACACACACATCAACTCAGCAGGACGCTTCATGCAGTTACCCAAGTGGGTTTTAGTTCACAGAAACTTAAGCCACAACCGATCTGTTGCGGCTCTCAGTGGCTCTCGGTTGTGCGTGTTGTACTTAGTGCCATTGCACCAATAAAGGGTGCAAATACAGCTCACGGATTAGCAGGTTCCCGATCGCCACCCCAGCCATCTCTCCTGGGAAAGCCCCCCAAAGGGTGCCGTGGGGGGACAGGGAAAGTCAAGGAGAGCTTCTTGCCTGGTCAAAAGCCAGCCTTCCCCCAAATGCTCGGCATGACAAAAGATCACTCTCAGCAATTGCTGGGGGAAATCGCTCCCAGCCGTGCCCCAACTGTTGTGAAGAGCAAAGCTAAACTGAGAGGGAAGAGAGGAAGTGGGAGACGACGCTGATCCAAAATCCAGCCACTCAGCTCTGCTTTCCCTGGCTTTGCTACACCCCTGCTTACTAAACACAATAAGCTCTGTTCAGCACAGTAGGAATTCCTTCTGTGTGCCCCTCTCTGGGGATTGTGCTTTAATGCGACCGTCTCTTAGGACAGGCACAGCTACCGGGGATCATCAGGAAGCAAGCTGAGTGAGAGCTGGACTGGGGGAAGAGTCCTACGATTCCCAGCATGCTGGCTGGGGAGTGGTGGGCACGGTATGACATAGTTGCATTTCAGGAGGGAGAAGTTTGCCCAGGAAAGCCTCCATCCTCATGGACAACCTTCATGGTCCTGTTTGGGCAGTTGGACGGCAAGCCAAGAAAGGGGGAAATGCATTGTGTGGATTGAACGACCTTGGCTTCCAGGGATATAATTACCACCAATAAGTGTCTTCCTTTCAGCAAGGAATAAGGTGCACCACTTTTGTTCTTGGCTCCATATGGAGATGCAAAAGCCAACAACACCACCGGGCTTCACCAGGTCCTTCTCTGTTTCAGGAACAGGAAGGGGGCCAAATGCAGCCTCATGGGAATCTGACGGAAGTGAAGTGACGCAAATCGAAGACTGGAGCACTTCTCCTGGCGGAGTCCTCCGTGAACAGTAGCCCTCCAAAACGGAGGCATTCGATCGTCGGGAGGTGCAGTGCAAATTGTCCTTGCCGCCTCAGCCTCCCATGCAGCAGTTTCAGCTTGGTGGGTTTTTCTTCCCATCTGGAGCTTCAGGGAGGGGGCGAGAGGAGCTCTGGTCCCCCAGTCCCCTCCACTCCCTGAGGTCAGGTTTCTGAGCTCCGGAAGTCAGCCGGCCTGCTTCTCTGTGTGCTGGCCACTGGGGGAATTTTTAGGGCCAGTCTGCTGCCCCCCTGTTGGAACGTGCTTTACAAGCCCCGCACCCTGGACTCGGATGCTTGCCAGGAACCCCAGAACGTCTTGCTAGAATGACCCTAGAAAGTGCAGAACCCAAAGGCAGTGCTCCTCAGCCCAGCCGGCAAGTTCGAGGCAGGGCTGAGCAGGGGCCTTAAAGGAGTCAAACCAGCTGGTGGACTGGTGGGTGCCACGGCCAGAAGGACTTTGCTCTGGGACTAAATGCACGTGGGCCCTAACCCTGAGTAAAACAGCCCTCTAGAATGGATGAGAGCGCCCCCATTTGGGAACCCCAGTGCGCCACACGGCGGCAGCCCACCGACGCCGGAACACCCCAAGGGCCCTTCCTGCGGACGACGTGATTGCGTGGTCAGAAGCAGAGCTGAGCACTCCTCCCGGACATTTTATCTGAGAAAGAGTTTTCTGTGTGTGTGTCGCTCGCTCGCTCGCTCGTTCACTCCCTCCCTTGCTTTTTTGAAAGTGGTGGGGCTGGTTTTGCCACTTCCTCCTATTTCTAGTATGTGCACAAGGAACTTCACTGTTCGGTCTTTGATGGCCAGAGACAGGCAGAGGGGATGAATGCGTAAACTCCACGCAGAGCCCATCTCCCCATGATGCCCAAAGGTTGCCCAGGATGCAATCGTTCAGGCTGCAAGCCTGTAGATTTACTCAGGAGTAGGCGCAATGGACTTCAGTGGGACTTCTCTCTCAGTAGACCTATGGGATTTCTCTGCTGGGATCAGACTGAACAAACAAAACAGTGCATTTCCTTGGGTATACTGAGGTTTTGATTGTATGAGGCTGGATTTAAATGTAATGTATTCCAGAGTCAGTTCATGGGTTAAAAGGCAGGTGATTCATTTAATTATCTAATTAAAATACACATTATTTTAACAGAATGACAGCCGGGCCCCTGTTTCTCATTTTCACATCCACAGTCACTCAACTGAAAAGTGGGGTGGACAAGAACCTGTGGCCATCCAGATGTTGCTGGACTACAAGTACCATTATCATTGGTAGTGCTTTCTGGGGATGATGGGAGGTGAAATCCAACAAAAGCTGTAGATCTGCAGGAGCGGAAGCTGCAGCTTTTGAGTTTCACCTTGGCAATAAAAGCTCAAACTAGTCTGGTGTCTGAAGCAGGAGAAAGAACATGGGAGTCCATCCAGAGTGGTGAAATAATATTAAAATACCTTCGAATTGTCCCCACGTGTCAAACTTCCCCATCCAACTGTGATGATCATGGGTGGGTGGAAGGTAAGTCTACTAAGCAAGATGTTTTGCTGATCAGTATTTCCAACTCCCAACTGTTTGGTAGTAACAGCAACAGAAGTCCAGCCAAATGCCCTAAATTATACTGCTGGGATGAAGCTTGCTTGGGAGTAACTATGTACATATTTTTGTGTGAACTTCGAGCTCCAGTTTTGGTACCCAAAGCAAATTCCTGGCCTCAGAATCTTAATTCTAGGTCTTTTTCACCAGGTTCCAGCTGGTGGATTCGAAGGTTCTAGTGAAAAAAGCCACCACACCACTTGACAGGGCAAACCTGAGCTCGGTCCACGCTCAGTTTCTGTCACCCCACCTCCCTTCACATTCCAGCCAATGAGCAGAGGCACTGCTGGGAATATAGGGCGGGAAGGGGGCCACCTATATCCAAGGCAAACCGTTTAAGCTTCTTCAGATGTTTTGTCCACCAGCACCCATCCTTTCTATCCAACAGAGCCAGGGATGACCGCCATGGAGTTGTAGGCCAAAATATCTGGAAGGCTGCAAGCTGAGGACCACTGAGGAGAACACGCAAGCCACCGAAAAGCAGTGACCCAGCTTGTAAACAGGTCTTCTTCGTGGTGGCTCCCACCCTCTGGAATGCTCTCCCGTGTGTGGATTGGGAGGCCAAACTGGTGAGCTTTAGACACTCCTCGAAGGCTTATTAGAAACTCTGACTTGTAACGTCACACGAGCTTCCAGTTCTTCCTTTCCTGCTGCAACATTCCTAATGCTGTATTATTTAAAATGCATTTTTCTTCTTTTTGATATATTATGATACGTATTTTAATGTGAACTGCTTAGGGATTTGAAGCAATCGAGTGGCATAGGAGTAGTTTAAAGAAATAACCAACCAACCAACCGTCTAGGTCAGTCTGAACTCTGATTCATAAGCCGGCTTGGGCCACTTTTGGCTGTGAATGGAGCCCTCAGCATCATGATCTCTCAATCCCCCCTCCCCAAATGCATTTGACCACCATGGTTGACCAAAACACTTGCCTTAATTCAGGCCAAGCAGAAATACACAGAAACCGCAGCTCTTTGTTATCAGATATTTCTTCTTTTTATTATTAAGGTCAAAATATCAACCCCACTATATACCTGCTGCCGTGACAATAAATAACAATAACTTACTTTGGTCTGCAAAGGCTCAAATAACCCCACCTCCATCCATAAGATAATTTAACATTGGCAAGAGGGGAAGAACACTCAGTTCTGTGGATCGTTTTCCAGCAATCATGCAGGCTCCGGGAGAGAAGGAGGTTCCCAGCTCCCCATGCCATCAAACAAAAGGAGTTCAAGATTTTTCCAGATACCTGGTGTAGTGTGGCAAACAGGGATGAATTAAGCCACGTGATGGTTGACGAAGAAAATGTGGAACTGGCTAGGAAGAGCCCAAGATGGCGACAAGAAGTCTGAGTAGAAGGGCCGGCTCCAACCAGCCCAAGCACCAACAATTCCAAGTCGATTGGGTTTCTTTCTTCCAAATAAAAGAGGGCAGGGAAGTGGGAAGGGACGTATGCTAAAACTATCATTACATGATTTGGGTGTAATTCTAGTAAAATCCAAAGGCATTCCTGGAGAAAAATGGAATCCCTCAGAAGCCTTTCTCCGTATTTTCTTTCTTTCTTTCTTTCTTTCTTTCTTTCTTTCTTTCTTTCTTTCCCCACTGTGGCCTGGGAAAGGCAGCAAAGTCTGGATCCAGAAGAAGTTACAGCCAAGCTGGGTTAGGAAAGAACAAGGCGCTGGGTTTTAAATAAAGATAATAACTTAAAGAGTTGCGTTTGCTCAGAGCTCGGGAGACCTCATGCAAGGAGCAGGACCATGCGAAAGTCCGTGGGGTGGGGGGGGCAGGAGAAGGGGCGCGTTCCTCACGTCTCCACCGGGCTGGGGACCATGCTGTTGGGGGTATCGGGGAGCTGGGAAGACAACGATGTCACATCACTGCCAGAGGAGTTGCCCAGAGAGCCCGACTCGGAGAAGGAGACCTGCAGGGGAGGAGCAAAGGAGGGCGTCAGAACGGAGCGGAGACCCACAATGAGCATCGAGGGCTCGCCCTGGCACAAGGGAGCCCCCAAGTGCATTTCCATCCCATCATTTTCCTACCAGGAACCCGGGAACGGGGGAGGGGGTCCATGATCAAGCGGGGACTAGAACCCGGATCTCCTAAGCCCCACCGGTTTGCTCATGTCTGGATGCTCTGCTTCCTCCTTTTAAAGATGTAAATATTATAGAAGGATCGCATGAGAAGCCTATTTTCCAATCTGGCGGAGCACTGCCTGACTGTCCTCCATCTTCTCGACTAGACAGAAACCAAGCCTTTGGCACGGGGTGCTCCTGCTGCTTAACGGAGGTGGCCAGGTTCAAACCTGGGGCCTTCTGCAAGGGAAGTGGGTGATCTGTCGACGAAGTCCAGCCGTCCCGCCTGATCATGGAGAGCAGTCAAAATCACCGTAAAGTCCACTGACGGCAGCGCCAACTAAAGCGTAGCGCTAGGTCTGGAATTTCTGCTTAAGCAGCTCGGGGTCTGGAATAGCCAAAACCGTAAGGGACAGTCCTGCACAAAGTTCTCCTCCACATGTGCCACCAAAACACAGAGGAGCTGGGTTCTTTAAATAGGCCCAGGCTGATGCCTCTTGTTGGGGGGAAAAGTGAGAAATTCTCCTGAAACCTACAAGCCTCTTAATCCGTTCCAGCCAAATCACGTCCCTCATCGATCGCTGTCCAGAAATAGCAGCTAACTGGGCCATCATTAAAGATGGAAAGGCCATGAGAGAGGGGTATGCGGGCTGTAACGAAGGCACGGTTCCTTCGCCACACGGCCTGTTTGCCCGTTCCAAAAGGCAAGCGTTGCTGGTCGCCAGTTTGCTCCCAGCGTGGCAACTGGGAGCAGGCAGCTCTTTGCCCAGGTGTCGGGGAATCTTTCTAGACCACATAGCCAAGGCCGAGACAAGAAGATCGCACTGCTGGGAAGCCATGGTGTGCCTGAGAGCACACGTCCCCCAGTTTCTCCCTTTCTCCCAAGAGAATACCACCCCTGAAAGAATTTGCTGCCCCCCCCCCCCCCCCCCCCCCCCGTCCAGCCAGGCCAGGACATAGGAGATGCCCGTCCCGGCTAACGACTCTGCTGGTGCAAGCAAACGGCCATTCAATTATGCAAGCGGCTCGCCCATCTCTTCTCCTCTCTCACAACTAAATATTGCATGGGATTCGCTCCGGATTATCCTCTAACGCGTCATCGCCATGCCAGGAGGAATGCATTAGGCGAGGGAGCAGCCTGCGTGGAGAAACCCTGGACTTCTGCAAGATGCAGCTGGCATTCGCGGGACCTGGAGAGATGGCCCAGGGAGGGAGAGAAGCGACCCCGCTGGAAGCCGCTCCCAGGTGATTTTAGCCCAGGAAGAGGCCCACAGCTCCCCCTGCCCCCACGGGCCACTGATCGATTTTATGGCAGGCCATGATAAACAAGTTTGCCGTGGTTTATGGTTTGCCGTACTAAACAAGTGTACATGGCCAATGCCGCAGCTGTGGATACACTGCACGAGGCACACTCGGTGCCGTTAGCTTGGCCACTATACAACACAACGTGGACATTCATGGCTTTAACCATGGACACCCAATACATTTTTGTAGGGGGAACAATGCCCAGGTGATCGATCTCTCTCTCTCTCTCTCTCTCTCTCTCTCTCTCTCTAAAACATGTATATGCCGCCTGTTTCGCCCATGGCATCTCTCTGTGGCTAGCATGAGGTTTAGTGGGGTTCCTCATCCATGGTAGCTTTTCTTTTGAGCATTATACAAAGTCTCCATGGTGCTGAACCTAAAATAGTCCCACCATCATGGAGCACCATAGAAAGGGCCTCCAGAACTCAAAAGAAAAGCTGCCATGATGAGGGCCCCAGTGGCTTTGGGGTCAGAAGGCTCCCTTGTGTTCTTGGAGTGGATTATGGGCACTCAGTTTAATGTTAATTCGGATTACCGAATCATTCAACAGAAAATGCCACGTGGCATTTTATGCAACGCATTGGGCTGGACTTGCAAAAAGTAAATTCATGCAAATCATCATGAAATTATAAAAATCATTTATAGAATCATTATAAAAATAATGTTATTACTTAGGTTGCATTTATTTCAGTAGGTCGGCCCTAAGTATAACTAAATCTGGATGGGTCCCATGAAGCTCACCAGACCTACAACTTAACACACTTTAGAAAAATGCATGCGTTTCCCTCAGGGGATACATTTCTCAAGATCATGACATGCGAAATGATCGCCTTTAGTTTGAGAATATGATTGTTCTTTTCAAACTATCATACAAGATTCTTTCGGTGCTTCCAGATGGACAGCTCCTAGCACTACCGATAATAATTAACCGGCTGTTGTTATTGTATTAAGCGGAAAGCAGAACAATGGAAGCAGGACTCAGAAAACACAGGTGGGACAACACCATCCAGGCCTCCACTAGACTCAGCAAATGGGCAGAAAAAATCTCAGGATAAAAGCCTCCCCAGAAACCTGAAGGTTTCTGAAATTTTGCCTGGGTAGGAACGACTGTTTCCATCTGAGGAAACACCCCGTGGTCTTCAGCATCTACCAGGTTTGCAGTGCAGGCCCTTCTCAGCACAGCCCTGACCAAGGCACTCTTTAAAAGGAAAGAATGAACATAGGATAGCTCATTTTAATGTTTCGCTAGATCTAACCTTTATGTTATCCAAGGCATGGCTCCTTTCTCCCCATTCATCCTGTTATAGGAAAGCGCTCAGCTCTACTTGCACCAGGAAGGATCCTCATAAAGTTCTTATGGAGACATTTATCCTCATGAGGATATATTTAAAAATACAATTTATTATAAATAACTAATATCAATAGCAGTGTCCATTGATACATATTTCCATAATATCCCAATCAAATCATAATTGCTCATATGTCTTTGTAATGTTAATTATTCATTATTAAATGAAAGGAAAACAGGCATTTAAATTAAAATTCTGTTTTTTGTTTGCTCTCTTTCTTTCTAATAAAGTCTGTGCATTTCGGCATAGGAAACAGCTGTGGGACCTCATCGCCCATCTCCTTGTTGATTTCAGTTTTGCCTTCTGTTTAGATCTGATCGCAAATTCTAGCAGCTGTAAATAAACCGACGATCATTTCCTAGCCTAAGCGCTTTATAACCAGCTTCAAGAGAACTGAGTTCTAACATCCGGTGGCAGCTCAGGTGAGGTCCCTGTTCACACGCACAGGACTAGCATGAATTCTGTCTCAGCAAATAGTTGGACCATACAATGCAAACTAGAATGTACTCAAGGTCCCGTGACGGGAATTGGTTGTCACTGGACAAAGTCTAATGGTGCTTTTGCCCTCTCTCACTGGCCACAAAAAGTGCTCAAGGGGGATACATTCCTGTACAAACAGAACCCCCCCCCATGCAAAAACCCCACATATCTTTCTATATAAATTCATACAAGTAATCTTGGCTGCTCATTGTGAGGATTACAGTGGGCAGGAGGCCTGACTGCCCTGCATTTTCTCTGCGTCCCCTGTTTTCCCCTAGCAAATCATTCACAAGCTGTTCACAATTTTGTCTTCAAAAGGCCTGCAGACCAGAAGGGTTACCCCTCCGCCTGAACTTTTGGTCCGGCTACAGGCCTGGATTGGGATCCAGCCGAGAGTAGAAGGCAGGTGAGTCAGCTCTATGACCATATTCCCAGCATCTTTCCGATACCACCTTTCAAATACCTTTCAGCGTAAAGAGAGACCGGTCTGGTAAAGCAGCCCAAGGGGGAGAGGTCTCCAAGCTGTGCAGGGCCCTGGTCAGGCTTCCCACCCCCGTTGAACCAGCCGTGCCTGCTCCTCATCCTCCCTGCAGGAGCGAGGGCCCTCCGCAGGGGCCCGATCCTTGGCACAGGTCCTGAGCAGCGGGGGGGGGGGCAGAGAACAGGGAATTCCCTGCAGCTCAAGGGGGAAGTCCCGCTGGGAGGTCCCGCTGCGGCCCACGTCTTACCAGTTGCTGGAAGGCCGGCTGGTCCAGGTCGCTCTGCAGGGCGAAGTCGCTGAGCGCCTTCCAGGGCGGCTGGTAAGTCTGCACCTCCACGGCACTGCCCTGCACGGCGCTGTCGTGCCGGATGGGGCTGCCAGCCACCAGCGGGGTCCCGGTCAAGCCCTGCAGACTCTTTGGAGGGGAAGGGGAGACGGAGGGAGAGAGACGGTCAGCTAGGGGTCACTCCGGTCCATCCGCCTGCTCTGGGCGCGAATCGGCGGCCGCGATGGGGTGGGAGCCTGGGAAAGGCGTTGTGAATGCGGATCTGCGCCTTTGGGGTAGGCAATGCAGGCAGCGGTGTGTGGGGCCTCTGTGTGTCTAACCGCGAGCCAAACCTGAATTTGGCCATGGTGATCCTATGTAGAGTAGACCCATTGGAATGAATGGAACTGAAGTTCGACTCACACTGAATACAGCTCTCCCATATGTCGCAGCTGGAAGGCTGGAGACATCGGAGTGTGCTGGTTCAGCCAAAAGGACCCCTGACATGCCCAGGGACACTCTTTTCGAGCCAAGAGCTGAGATGCCGTGCTCAGCAAACAGGTCTTGGGAATGACCCGCACCCGCAGCTGCACCAGCTGAGAACAGGGCCATGGATCAGGGACGCCCCCGTTCGCAAAGAACAGGCAAACGAACCCCATTGTAGCCGGAGAAGGGGTGAAGGGAGGAGAACCCCCAAAGTGCCCCAAACTGGGGGGTTGGAGCACAAAGAACAACACAGAAAGGGTGAAAGGACCAGGTCCAAAATGTAGGAGTGATTCACCTACAATGAATTGCAGTGTTCTTATGTAATGGGGTCTGGCTTATGGGGTTTGGGTAGTTTTAATCTATTGTAAACTGTTTCAGAGAGCCTTTTTGCTGATGAACAGTATAAAAGTATTCTAAATAAATAAAATAAATAAATGACTCCCCAGTTGCTTCCGGGTCAGCCTTAGTAGTTTAGCACTGGGGAACATGTGCGTGCGTGAGTGTGTGTGTGTGTAGAGAACCCCTCCCAGCCACGCTCTGCCTCTCACTCGGGTGCATAGTAATTTAAACCCTTGTCTTTCTCTGTCTTCACAAACAAACCGCACTGTGCTTTCCTCATCACAAAACTGGAACCACTCGCACAATGCTGTCTTTCTGTGAGAATAAATCATCTTTGAGATGCCACAAAACTCTTTAGCAGATCAACAACACGATGATTCCTCATTCTCCCATCGAATCAATTTATGTTGCCAAATGGAAATGAAATAATTTGATTTCTGCAGAAATTACATACCTCCGCTCTCGCTCTCGCGCTCTCTCTCTCTCTCTCTCTCTCTCTCTCTCTCTCTCTCTCTCTCTCTCTCTCTCTCTCTCACACACACACACACACACACACACACACACACAAGACTTTCACACACACCCTCCAAAAGAAAACATTTTAATACCGAGCTGGATGTTTGGTTTGGTTTTGTTTTCCTACGAAAGAGAAGCATAACCAAATCATACATGTCCAGCAATTTGCTCAACGGTGGGTTAAAGTTTGGTTCACTTTTTGAACTCAGAAGATATTTTAAACAATATTTTCAATAACCAGGGGTCCTCCAGATACTTTGGACTACAACTGCCATACGCCCCAGCTGGCATGGCAAATAGCCAGAGATATGGAATTTGTAGAGGCCCAAAGCATCTGAGAGACACCGAGTTTCTACTTCTGCATTGAAAGATTTATTACTAACAGTAATAGCAATAGCCACTCTGATTTTTTAAATGAATATTTCAGGAAGAATTAGGCGAGTCCTTTTTTTTAAAGGGTGCTGAGTCTGCATAGGAAAAAGCTTCTTGGGAGATTTCCTTTTGCTGCGAGAATTTGTGAATCACTTTCCTGGAATGTTCTGCCTTGCATGCTTGCTAAAACCAGGACACGAAAAGGCCACAGTGTTTTCATACCACCAGGCTAATTATTTCTTAATTTATTGCTATTATTATTATTATGTTTCTAGCCTCGCTTTGCTGCTTAGATGTTGAAAAACGAATCTGAATGACAAAACTGATCAGTGTTTCTGCTTGTGTTATTTTTGGTTTTTCCTTTCAATCCTTTGCACAAAGACAGGGCAAATCCAGGTGTGATTACTTGAAAGCAAGCAGTATAAATGAGATTCACCCCCGGGGCCCTTTCTGCAGTCTTTGGTCCTTATCCTTTTTACTCAAACGTTATTTTAATTGTTAATATTATTTTATTCTTTGGCCAGGGAGACTTAATTTATACTGTTAAATTATATTGTTTTATAGGCTGTTATTTATTTATGTTTGTGAGCCACCCCGAGGCATCGGTAAATGGGGCGGCATAGAAGTTCCCTAAATATATATCCGGAACTTAACCAATTTCACTGCCGTTGAAATCTGGCAAGGAGTTTCGCTAGCAACAGCAGTCCTGGACTCCTTTACCCAAGAGTAAGTCCCATTGAACAGAAGGGAGGTTATTTCAGAGTAGACATGGACAGGGAAAGTGGGAATTGGATATTTAAATTGTAATGTATCGTTTAAAATGATTTTGCTTTGGCACTTCATGTTCCTGCAACAGTGTGATGAAAAAATCTACTTGGAGATTTTTCCCAGTCAAGCAACACAGAAATCAGTTTTCTTTCATGCCTTCCATTCATTTTGATGATGTTTAAACACAATATTTTTTGGGGGGGGGGGAATGTGCCCATAGCATTTACATATTCCATGCGGTGCATGTCCAAACCAAATTTACTCAGAAGTCCCACAGATTTCTAAAGGGCTTGCCCCAAAATCCGTGTACCCTGGGCATGGTCTGTCTTGAAGTCACTCCTAAAGCGTTTTATGGGATTTATAGAGTTGCAAATGTTCAGAGTGGCATTCCCACAGCTGAGAGCCAGCGTGGTGCAGTGGCGAGGAGCGCGGGACTGGGACTCCGGTGATCCGGGTTCGAGTCCCCGCTCGGCCATGGCGCCCCAACGGGGTGACTTCGGGCCAGTCGCAGCCTCTCGGCCCAGCCTACCTCGCAGGGTTGTTGTGAGGCTGAAAGGAGGAGGAGGATATAAGGGGCTGCGAGTTCATAACAGTCCTGCAAGGACGGACCGACAGGAGGGTCCCAAGCCCACTCCCCCGATATTACGAAAAGTGCTGCCAAGGCAACAGCGGTGTATCAGGGAGGTGTGCGGATTGTGGCTCACACAGAGATCCTAACCTGTCCGGAAGCGAATCCATCGGTCTGAGCCTCAGTCACCCCTGGGTCACTTAACTGCCTTCTCTGCAGTTCTCAAGCGTTCCCGAACATTTGCTCAATGCGTAATGCAAAGGGGGTGAAAAATGTCCTTTTTTAACGGGGAGCTGCTATCATTTGACCTGATTTCCTTTGACCTGATTTGACAACGTGGCTGCATTGTGTCCTCTCAGAAAGCAACTCATTTTGGGAAGGATTTTTACGTGTTTTCAGCTGCTCGGGGCCTGCATTTTCGAAGATCCGGAGGCACAGAGGAGCGCCGCCCGCGCCCGCGCCCGCCACGCAGCCGCCTCGCGCAGAGGTGCCATCGAGACCGCCCGCTGCGGCAGGTGCCGAGAGTGGATCGGGCGCCTTCGCGCAGGAGGGTGGCTAGTCCTCATGGCCGCGTGCTGTGCGCCGGGGAGCGCGGGCGAGCGGCCCCCCCCTGGCCGGCCACCGCGGGGCAAAGCGCCGGACGCGAGGCCTCCCCGGGAACCGAGCGCGGCCGGGGCGCCTCGCGCGCAAGGGCCGCGCCGCCGCCGCCGCCGGGCGCTCACCGCCTTGTCGCTGTGCTGCTGCTGCTGCTGCAGCTGCTTCATGAGGATGGACTTCTTCTTGTCCTTGCAGCGCTTGTTCTGGAACCAGACGCGGATGACGCGGGGGCTCAGGCCGGTCATCTCCACCAGCTGCTCCTTCATGAGCGCGTCCGGCCGCGGGTTGGCCGCGTAGCAGGTGCGCAGCGTGTGCAGCTGCTTCTCGTTCAGCACCGTCCGCACCCGCGTCGTCTTCTCCGCCTGCTTGTGCACGTGTGGACGCAAGGCGGGCTGCCGCCCGGGCGCCGGGTCTGCGGAGAGGAGGGGCCGGCGGAGAGCAGTCACCCCAGGGCCGGGCCGGGCCGGGCCCCACGCCAGGTGAGCGGGAAGGGCCGGCTCTCTGGACATGCTCGGGGCGCCCTCCCCACTGCTTCCGGCTTGTCTGGTCTGTGGGATACTGCGGGTGCAACTCTGGGCAGAAAGGGGGTCCTGCAAACCCCAGTATCCCCCAGCCGGCCGGGTTGGGAGCTCAGGGCCGGGCCGTGGCTGCGCGGGCCCAGCTTCGCTCCCAGGGAAGGAAAGGGGGGTTCTTCCAGACGCCCCCTACCCGCCCCCCACCCCCCCGCCCCGAAAGCCCCCGGAGCGCGGCAGGGCCGTCGAGGGTAGGAAAGGCGAGCGGGGCGCGTGGCCTGGGCCTGCGAGAGCAGTGCGGGGTTCGCCGGGTGGGAGAGGGCCGCCGGAGGGCCGGGGATGCTGGGGCCTGGGGGCCTTCTCCCTCCCCCATGGGAGCGCGCCGCGGGACCCCGCGCCCGAGCCCTTCCTCCGCAAGGCAGGCTGCGCGCTGCCGCGTCGCGTCGCGCAACGGGCCCCTGCGCGCCAGCCTCCCCGCGGGGCCCCTCCAGGCGAAGGGGGCTCGGGGCCCTCCGCGGGGAGACGCTGCTGGGGGGGGGGCTCGCGGGCCCGATCCTCCGCGCGTGTGGACGGAGAAGCGCGGCTGCTCTAGCTGGGGGAGGCTGAGCGTTGCTTCGACCTGCTCAGAACGTAGCTGCGCCTTCGTTTGCGCGCGGTGGCGAAGGCTTTCGCAGGAGACGTTCCCCCTGCTCTTTCCTTTCGGACTCGTTTCGGACCGAGCCTGGCAAATCGTCGCGGGCCTCGGAAGTCAGCCGGCATCGACTGCAAAGCGGGTGCCGTGCCGTCCCCCGTTTTTAGTTGCGATGCCAAATCCTTTCCTTCTTATTTTTCCTGCAGTAACCAAAATAATTTCCTAGTTGTTCTTTCATTGGTGTGCGTGCGAGCGTGGGAAGGAAACTGGCGAACTTGGGCCCAGCTTTTTTTCCCCTCGAGGTAATCCCTGTTTTAAACTAATGGCAACAACAATAAACCGAATATCAGTGTGATTGTGCCAAAAGCCAGGCGTGTCAAAAAGGAAGGCTAAGAATAATTTTTAAAAAGAGATCCTTTTTTCATGATTGCGATTGTGGTTAAAATCGCACAAGGAGATCTAGTTTCGAGACCTGGTTTTGTTTTCATTTTCTTCCTCCTCGCTACAGGCAGATACGGTGTAAGTCGGTCGGGCTCAACGGCAGTAGGCAGGAGTTTGAACTGGATGGCACTCTAGAAAGGGGAATAGGCTTGGGGGCTAAACGAAAACCAACCCAAACCCAGTGAAACTGCTTGCTCCAAAAGGATCTAGAAAAAGGGAAGCAGCCACCGGCGTAAGAGACTTTCTGAGACCTTTCACTAAATATTCCTTTTAAGATGGAGGTGTATTTCTCCCGCAATGCTCTGAAAATTAAATCTGCTTATTTTGAGAACCCACGCTGGTTGTATAGAGAGAGAACAACGACCCAATAGCATATTTGTGGGTTGAAGAAGCAAGCAAGCAAGCAAAGGTGAAGGAGAGAAAGAGGGAATATAATTTCCCTATATTTAATGGGGCTTATGCCCATGTGACTGGACATCAGGTTATAGCTTCTGTACATAGGGTGAAATTAGGGCTGCAGCGCTGAACTCATTAGCTCAGTAATTAGGGCATAAACCCCACAGAAGCAGTGCAATTGATTTCTGGAGAAATGTGTTTAGGATGGCATTGGTTAGGCTGCCGGGCTCAACTTGGGACAAAACAAGCCCCTGATAAATTCACGGGATTTGCTTCCGAGTAAATCTATTTCGGTAGAAATAAGAACTTTTGTCACTTTGACAAAAGGTTTCGCTTTCTTTGATTTGAAGCGGGTCCTAAATCTGTTTAGGTGTTCCTTGCTCGTTTCTGTTTTTAATGTCATGAATAATGGTAGGATCAGATTAAATGGAGACGTAAAGAATGTCTGTTCTGAGGGATGGAGAAGGAAAATAGATGAAACTTTCTGTGTGTGTGTGTGTGTTATATCAACAAAAAGTGTGTGTCTGTGTGTATAAAACGGAAGGATAATAATCCTTTATTAGGACAATCCTTGATTAATTTTTCCCCTACTGTTGAATGGTGAATTATCCTTAATGCGTTAAAAATAGTGGAACTTTCACATTTTTAGATTCATGGTTGTAGGATACAGCTGCTGGCAGTACAGATTTAGGGTTCTGGGATCCCTCCACACGCTCTTGGGGAAACAATGCTCAGCCTTCCAGGGTCTTTCCCTGCAGACCTCAATCTCCTGCCAGACCGAAGAAAACGTTCCTGTTCACAGTGGAACCACAGAAATGGGCTGGAGCGTTTCCTTCAGCTCCGTCCGTGGGCACCGCTCGCAAGACAGGAGGGAGAGGTTCGGGGGCTCAGCCCTGCTGCCTAGGCTGCCGTGCTCTGCTCTGCTCTGCTCGCGACCCCTTTGGCTAATTCCAGTTGGGCCCTTGAAGTGGAGGGTGCGGGAAGGAACGCGCTGCCTCCGAGAAAGAGAGACAGGTTCGGGGGCTTTCAGTGGCGACTGCGTGGGCTCGGGCTCGGGCCCAGCTTTGGGGGGCGGACTCGTTCAGGCCTCACGCAGGGACAAGAGGCCTCCAGGGAGGCGGCGAGGGCAGCTCTGCTCCTGGCAAGGGGCTCCGCTTGGGGCTGGAGTGGAAAACCCGACCCGGCTTCACTCGGGCTTCTCTCGGGAGCTCCGCACCAGTATCGCCCTTTCCGAAGAACCGGGGTCCTTCCCCCGTGCTTTGGAAGCCCTTCCCCCCATCACGACTTCGCAGGGGGACAGCGGGGGATGGGATTGACGTTTCTGGGCAGGAGAGAGGAGGCCATGAGACTTCCCCACACGCGCCCGCCCAGCCTTTGCTCTTTGCGGGGCGTTCGCACCCCGCTTTTCTGCTCCAGAGCATTGCACAGCAGAATGAGCAGGATCTGATTTCTGCGGTGATTACTTGGGGGGGGGGAGCCAACTTCTGGCTCCCCACCCTTCCCTTTGCCTCCTTGGAGGCCCCTCACTCTATCCCTGAGCAAAGGGAAATTAAGGAAAAGATTTGTCATGCTGGCGAGTCCTAGTTAAGGAAGGGCAGATGGGGAGAACTCCAAAAGTGGGACCCCCCCACACACACACACAGCACACGCACAGCTCAGGGAAAGCTCGGCCCTCGGCTCTCTTCCGCGAGCCGTTTGCCATTTCCACGGGATGTCTGCGGTTCAGCCACGTCCTGCCGTTCAAAACCGAAAGTCCGGGGGACGGACGGTCAGGCACCGCGCAGGAAGGGGGCCGGGGGCTCCTGTGCCCCCTTCGTGGCCTCCGTCCAAATGCCCGGCGGGGAAGGGCGAGGGCCGTGCGGGGCGGCCGCAGCGACAGCTCCTTTCGCCCCCCCCCTCAAAGCCGCTTCCGTGCAGCCCCCTCGCCTGGGCCTCCAGGTGCTGCAAGACGGGGGATACGGAGAGGGGCTCCCGACGGCGCCCCGGACAGCCAGGGGGCCCTCGCCTGCGGGGGGGGGGGGCGGGAGAGGGAGGCCGGACTCTCGTGGGCCTGCTGCGGCCGGCGGGGCAGAGATGAGACGGGGGGGG